CTCAGTTTTTTCCAGCTCTAATTCTTTGTGACTTATGGCTTGGAGCCAGTTTTATGAAAGGACTTTTCTTACTTTTGCATTCCTGAGGAAACAGATTGGAAGGTTGAAGCAAGGGTCTTCTGGAAACAGGCAGGAATGAACCACAATGGCACTCCAAAGCACTTTCCAGTCCTCATAAGCTATGTCTTCAAGTGTGCACTGTAATTCTCAATTGAGACATGCCCATATGTAAGTCAGGTTCAAACAGAAACTATTTTCAACTTATTCATTTTCAGGATTATCCAAGTTTCTGTTCCTTTCACAATGGTGGAAACTCCTGAATTGACTATAATTCAAAGCAATTATTGTCCTTTTAGTGTCAAGATGCCCTGTTATTCTTTTCATAAATATCCTGGATGATCTGGGCCCAGTTCAATGCAAAGCCTCTTTTTTTTTTTCTAACCCTATGCCTTTTCACTTGCTCAATTTATAGCATTCAAAAGAAAGAAAGGAAGGAAGCTCGCTTTTGCCTCCATTGCTAACATGATATATGTCTGAGGTTTAATTGCCCTTTAATTATGTCCTAGCCAGGTCTGCACAGAAATAATGGAAACAAAACATTATGGCAAAGCCTGAGGAGTCCTTACTGAGGTAGGAAGATGATGATGACTTTTTAATATTTCCTGTGACCAGAAAAAAGAAGGAGCAAAATGAGAGGTGGTCTGAGAATTGTCATAAGCCAGCCAGACGACTCACTGAGGCAACATTTTCTGTCTATGGCAGCCTCTAAACTCTGTGAGCTGCAAGGCTGGTAATCCCCTGGTGGTTTGATGTTCAGCTAAGGCTGGCTGAAAACGGAAGAACTTAGATGGCTTGGCTGTGAATTAAGAAATAAGCATAGCAACGAAACATGTTATGCCATTTTTGAAATATTTACCAAGGAGAGCTGGTTATTCAGTGAACAGAGCCAGATTGACTGAATTCTCCTGGCTACCTCCTACATTCTCCTTTGATCTCCACCTCCCCCTCTAAAACCAGGAGACCTTCACTTCCTGGGGTTAGCAGAAGAAAGACACATCTCTGTGATAACCCCAGCAAGTGCTGTGTGGTGATTCTGGCACATAAACCACTGCATGCACTCTTCTTCCCCAATTTCTTCTCTACAATGGGTGGGGGGGGAGTAACCAAAGATCTGTCAGCAAAGATTAAATGAGTCAATACAAGTTACTCTGAAGATAAAACACATCTTTATAAGCATCCTCTGACCTATATTTTTGGCTTATAATACCTAGAGGGTTTCAGAGTCCAGGACTTCCCTGCCAGGCTTCATTATAAAATCAAACTTGTCATCAGCCTTCACAGCACAGTTGTTTTTACTCCTGATCCTCCCAATTCAATGGATAAATGTTAATCTGCAGGTCTGAGGTTATGAAAAAGCATTATGGATAATGAAGAAATGTATTTGATATCACTTCAAACTCAACACTGGCCATGGGTCCTTCCTTTTCAAGTCTTGGGCAGAGTGTAAAAGTTCAAGTTTGATTTTTAAACAACACTCTCCAAAAGCAATTTGGTAATTAGGTTTAGATTAAACTAATAATCTAACAGTTCCATAGTTCTCTAACAAACTTTCCTACTCCTACCCCCCCAAAATTGCCACATTATTATTTTGTCTTAAAACTTGTACTTCTTAAGAGGCTCATGCCTATAATTCCAGATACTCAGGAGGCAGAGATCAAAAGATTGAGGTTCGAGGCCAGCCCAGACAAAACATTAGTGAGACCCTCATTAAGAAAAAAAAGCTGGGCATGGTGGTGTATACCTGTCATCCCAGTGACGCAGGAGACGTAAGTAGGAGGATCATGGTCCAAGCCGGCCCTGGCAAACACACAAGACCCTACCTGAAAAATAACTAAAGCAAAAAAGGCTGGGGGCATGGCTCAGGTGCCTAGTAAGCACAAGTCCTTTAGTTCAAACCCCAGTGGTAATGCATGTACCTGTACACCTTACAAGCATTGAGAGATTAGAGGACAGGTTAGCTAGCACTTAATGCCCATGAATGTCTTCTCTCTGCCTATCTCCAATATCCTTTTCTTTTTTTAGATTTCACTCATATGACCTGTCATAATCTCCCCAAAAGGAAAGAAAACCTCAGTGGTTTGATTAGACAGAACTTGAGGAAATAAACCATATTGACCTCGAAAGAAAGAGAGAGAAGACAGAAATGGGCCAAAATGATTAGTATGGAGGCACATAAACGGTCAGGTTAATTGCAGCTAGGTCTCACCTTTAAGCAAGTAACTACACAACAGAAGGCTGGACTCAATGACTTCCAAGGCCCCTTCCAACTCCAGTCGTGTTTGCCTCATGAATTTTTTATGGTCATCCTCTGTCCTATCACACTGTCCCTATGCATCATCAAGTCCTCTTTGCCACTTCCAGGACTGAAAGAAAAATCTGTTTAAAAAAAAAAATCCATGCTTTGACTACTGCCAAAATTACAATTCTGTCCTTGAAACAATGACCTGAAAATGATGGGCAAGGCTAAAAACCTCTGAGAAAATAAATGCTCAATACTGTCTTGGCAATATTTTTTAAGCTTCTATGATATAAACCAAACTATTAGCTGAGGTCCAAAGATTATGAAGCTAAAAGAATGGTACAGCCAAATCTTTTCAACATGGACTTCTATATCCCTGCAGAGTGTCTAACCTTAAGAAGACAGTGGAACCAAACAGCTGGGCTTGAATCCTGGCCTCATCTCTCAACAGCTGTGTGAGGTGAGGCAAGTTATTGAGTTTCCTGAACCTAATTCCTCACTTTCAAAATGCTGATGACGGGAGCCACCTTGCAGAGTTACTGTGACAATTAAAAGGGATAATATAAAGAAAACTCTGAGCACTAATTTATTTGTTCCCTCATTCATTCAACAAACATCAACTGAGGATCCACTACCAGCCAGGCACTGAACTAGGCACATAAAAGGTAGAATAAATGAAATCTTTTTTTTTAAACCTAAAAATTACTTTCTAAAACTGTGTCAGACTGACTTTAGTTCAAAACTTTCTTTAACACCTAGTTTGTCTAAAATAGTCATTTTAATTTTGCCAAATATGATCCCAGATAGGAAGCCTGCCTTCTGCCATGCCTTTACCCTTCTTCCCACTATGGTCCAGCAGGTGTTCTGCTACAGGACACCTTCAGAACACTTGGAAGAAGGCAACAACCAGAGAGCAAAAGGTGGTATCCCAGCACTCCACTGGGCAAACCACCCAGGAAAACTTGATATGCCTGTGCTACCAGGCCGGGCCTAGATGCCTGGAAGTTTTTGGGTGCTTTCAATTCCTTGAGTTCATGAGTGGACTCTGTGTCTTCCGAGAACTCCATATTAACAGGCCTGGCTCACCCCCAACCACTACCACTGGGCCACTGATAAAGCTAAGAGCAACAGCTAAAGGGTCATATCTTCATAATGTAAAACCTTTCAACTGCTTTACTCTCAAGTTTGATAAAATTCTGTATAAATGACCCAACTTTGGAGTCAGTTTGTTTCAAGGCTGGTGAGCTATTCTTCAATGGATGCTCAATATTCCTTTTAAGCCTCTGGGCAAATCCAGAGCTGGGTTGAGTGCTGGGCATTCAGCACACATTAATGACATTTTGCATGTCTAAGCAATTCCCATGGCATTCTGGAACCCAGTGCTCTTAGGAAAAGCATAAAAGTCTACTCCTGGAATAGGAAGCGACCTGCACTGGGTAGCAGTGTTGGGGTTAAAACAGGGAATTTTAGAGTAAAATTCTGAACTGTCTGTGAAGCTAAGGATAGGTTAGTGAACAGTTTAGATGTGCCTGAAATTTTTGATTTCCAGTCTCCTCTCATTCCAGAGATACCTGAGTCACCATTCTTAGAAACTAAAGTACACATCGGACTGCCACACACATGGATTTTGCATGGCTGCCTCCTACCTAGAAGTGACAGCCTCGCCTCTCCCCACAGAAGTTCTCAGTACAAAAAGACTGTCACTCACTGTATTTTCCCACCCCATTCCCAATCAGATGCATCTAAAATTTTACCAAAAAAAAGGTGGCTTCTTTTTATTTTCCTTCAGTCAGTCGCAAGTGTTATAAACTCCTGGCACCTCTAATTGCTCACTGAAAACAGTGGTTTGGATAGTAAGAGTCTATAAATCAAGGCCCCATCTGCTTGTCCTGGAAACAGTACTCAAACCCCGCAGCTCCTTCTCCCCTTGGAAGTCTGGTGAGTTGGTGGGAGTTGGGGATTCTGCTCGTGTTTCTGCTATTTCTTGGGGCCATGTTGCTGGTAGTGTAAGAATAGAATGGACTGCAGAAGCTTGGAGCCGGAGAGGAACTCTTTAGGAGATGGGGTGGAGGAGTCCTTGAAGTATGGATCGGGACAGCCGGATCTTTCCTCTTTGTCTACCCGGGACCACTCTGCACTTCATGCCCAGCGCCACGAGGCCCGGCCCCCTCCGCTGCCCTGAACTGCCCTCCCCGCCTGGGCGCAGGGCGGCCGGGGGAGCGCGCAGCCAAGTTCCAGAAGAGAATCTAAGCAGCCCCAGGGCTGAGAAGCCAGGCAGCGGGAGGCAGGAGGGACAGCGCGGAGGTCGGAAGACTCGAGGCAGGAACCCCTTGGCTCCCAGACAAGGGTCTTGGAGGAGGCAGCCAAAAACACGCACCCCCTCGACCTGCGCCTGCACCCCCGGGGTGACTCTTTAGGAGCCGGCTCTCCAAAGCTAGCACCCAGCTCGCCAAGCGCCTCAGAAGCCCGCGCGGGTTCCCGCGTCCCAGGGTGATGGTTGCTGCAGCTGTCAGGGCCTCCCGGGCTCTGTACCCCTCCAACTCCACGCCTGGCACCTGGGGCAAGGCCCCCGCCGGGTCCCCCGGGCTCCGCGCGTCACTCATCCCCTCGGCCCAGCGCTCCTCTGCGCTCGCGCCGCGCGCCCCTGCCCTGCACACCCGCACTCAGCTCCCTCCGGCCGCTGGGCCCTCCTGGGACTCACCTGCGCTGGGACTGAAGCGGCGGCCACCCTGAGCCCCGGGGCGGCGGCGGCGCAGGGGGAGGAGGGCAGCGCAGGGCTCCTGGCACAGCGGCCGCCGGGCGCCTGGTGCTGCCGAGCCGCGGACCCGCCCAGAGATATAAATAACATTATCTGAGGAGGGACATTCCTACCGGGGGACATCGCTGCTGCCGGGACCAGATAGTCCCGCGGCGGGGGCGGGGGCGGGGAGGCGGGGCCGCAGCCTCCCGCAGCGCCAGGCCCAGCCCCCGCCTTCCCCACCCACTCCTGCACCTGCCAATCAGCCTCCGAGCCCAGGGGCACCTGCCCGGCCTCCGCGGGCTCCTGAGGCCGGCCTCTGCCTCCCCGCTGGCCGCCCGAACCCCGGGCGCCTTCATCGTCGTTTAGTTCCCCTAATCCGCGCCACCCTGAGCCCTCTACGGCTGGAATGGGTTTGACTCCGCAGCTCAGGCCTAATTTGTGCGCCCGGCGAAAATGAGTCTTTGCCGCCCTACGTCCCCACTGCCAATAATCCGCTTTTTAAAATATACTAAAAGACACGCTTAGGCCATAGGGTGGGCGAGGAGGGCGCCAGGGCAGTGCGCCCCTGCTGCGGCCGCTTGCGAGGGACAGATTGTTCCTAGGGGCTGGTGTGTTAGAAAGCGCGCTCCCGGGCGGGCTGCTCCGGCTGGTGGTGAGGGCAGACGTTGGGAGCGCAGGGAGTGGGCACTGGGCCCAAAGCCTCGGCCCCCAGCCTGCCGGCTCAGTGTCTCCGTTCCTGCCTCTTGTAAACCCAATACAGTAGGGGCGAACCAGGCAAGGCCGGCGGCGCGCAGCCTGCAGTCCCAGGGCGCTCTCACATTGCAGGGACAATAATCAACAGGCTAGCAGCCACACCCGCCCACCTGCATTTCATTCTGATCGACCAGGGTCTCCTGGCGAGCCTGGGCTTCCTCACTGCAAGCCTGGGTGGGGTTGGGTGCAGTAGGCCAGAGGAAACACTAGAACCAATCAATGGTGCCAAGAAGAAACGACAAGGCTTCTTCGTGTCAGCTCAGAAGAGAAACACAGAAGAATATGGGCAGCTTGCAAGGCAGTCCATTTTCTTGACTTTCTTACAAAACAAGGTCATCGCTCAGGAAGGTTTGCTGTATGCCTTGCTGAAGCTTTCATCTCTTCTCCACCTGCTGCACCAGCCATCAACCCAGGTAATCGCAGGTTTTATGGAGATAGCAATGGGGATTAAAAGAGCATAGATGCAGAGGGGAGTTTTAACTTTGCTGCCTGGTATTCTCAACAAGGGAACAGCCTTACTCTTGAGTTATTTGCTTGAGAGTATAATTATGGTGTTTTCCAGGATTCATCAGGAAAGGGTGTCTAATTGCCAGATGTTCAACCTTAGTTTATATATTGAATGTATGCAAACGACATTTCACTGCGTGCCATAGTAACACTTCTTAAGAGCTGTTTGGACACAGAAGTGCTGAGTGTAGTATCTGTGGGCAAACTCCACAGGTATTAAAGCCACAGAACACTCTACCTCTTCTTATTTGGGCCCTTATTACATGTCAATTTCCCAAGAAACTGGTAATATAAGAAAGATGATACAGGAAAAGCCATGGTCATCCCTTAGGTTAGCAGTGATTCTCTCTCCCTTTGCTGGTAACATTTTTAAGAATCCATTTGTAGGGGCTGGGAATGTGGTTCAGCAGTAGAGCATGTACTTAGCTGCTGGTTTAATCCTCTTCATACTCCCCCCCTAAAAAAATTCACTTGTTCATTACCGAGTTAAAAAGATTCTTGTCTTTCTGACAAGGAAAACTCAAGAAAAACAGGCCATCTTCAAAAGCTGAGACTGTTATGTAGCTCAAGTAGAAATCCTTGATCTATTTTTGAAAGGAAGAAAAAAGGGAAATTATGTATTTATATTTTTAAAAACCTTGTGTGAATAAACTTATTAAATAAATTCATGATTCCTGAGAATTGCAGTTCTGCAGCTACATAATTATACACTACATGAAACAGATAATTCCTTAGCTATAGGTTTGTGGCACTGAACTGAATAGTTGCATACATTTTTCTTTGGAGCCTTAAAATTTATAATTTCCAACCAGAAAGAAAAAATTAATATGATAAAAGCTCCAACGCAGCAGACAGATTACCCCCAAGATTTTTACAAACCAGTTCAGATGCTTTAGTTATCTCCACTTTAGCTGAAAGCTAAATAATTCAATACAACCTCATTTGCTACAGATCCTGCTATCCTGACAGCATCCCCAAATGCCTTACAGCTAATAGAGTTACAGTGAAATGATAAATCAGAACTGAGGGAGAGGGGAAGTTTAAAAGTGCAGAGGGAAAGGGCACTGTCAAGTAAGGGATGGGAGGCAGGTCTCAGAGAACAAGAATGAGAAATTGTGGGGAGTGGAAGAGGGAAGGAAAAGCTGATAAAAGGGTTCACTGTGGAGGTCATCGTTGTAGGCAACAGGGGGTCAAGTCTTCAGAGACTGCCTCACAATTACAAAGCACATCTCAGAATTGTCTGTGTGCAGGCGGAAGATTGGCCCTCATCTTTGTTGGTCAAGGAACTGTCACTGCCAGTGTCCCTGCCCATGTTGGTACCCTAGACTTCCAAACTCCTCAGCAAGCTTCCCCAGGCAGTCTGCAGCTTTGGAAGAGTTCTAGGGCCAGAAAGGAAGGTGTGCATTGGAGACTGCAGTAGAAGCCCTCCGGGGATAGTCTATTCAGTTGCAGCTGAGATCAATAGATGAGGCCAAGAGGATGTAAGTTTGGACACTAGAGGCATCTAACATAAGAGGGAATTCTCATGGTCTATTTCTCTGAGTTAGTTGGTTAGTTTTTTGAGACAGGGTCTCACTATATCCCAGACTGGCCTTGAACTCTTGATCCTTCTACCTTAGATTCCTTAGTGCTGGAATTCAGTGTGTGCCGCCATGCCTCATCATTCTCTGAATTTTTCACAGTGAGCTTGTGTTATTGAAAATAAATAGAGACAATAAAGAAAGTAAGGTGGAGATGGTGGATTGAGCACACACATTTTGTTTCTCTTCTACCTTAAATTTCATAGAAAGATATATTGTAAAGAGAATAGGAGCCTAAAAGCACAGGGAAATTTTTTTAAAGGGTTGCCCAATGTTCCAGGATATTTAGGAAATCCTGAAACAAAGAAGAGAAGTAAGATCTGGTTCAAAATCAGAAGAAACAAAAGCAGGTTCAAGAGAAGGAATAGTTTAGGGAAGTTCTAGGTAAGAAGAGCCAAAGAAGACAAGAGGGAAGAGGGGGTCCTGGGACAGAATAATTCATTGAGGGACCTCCTCTTTGCTTCCAATAAGTATCAGGTGTTTGCCTGTGTGATAAAGAGAGTAGTTGGAATCGTGGAACCCTAGGAGCAGAGCCCAGGTATCTACTGACCCCTAGAAATGAGAAAGAACCTTTAGTGTCTCCATCATAGCCCCTGAGGACAGGATATAATCATCTGAATGAGCAGGGAACCCATTCTCATATAAGAAATGATTGAACCATCAAAATCACCAAACATTTTTTGGGAGGAAGAGGGACCAATGCCATGAAAGAGAAATACCAAATTCAACTAGCAGAAGAAATAACATAAGAGAAAACTAAGTTAATAAAGGAAACAGAAGATAAATTTTAAATGTATTTAATTTTATTCACTGAAATTTAAGAGCATATTTAATCTATGACAAATAATCAATAAGAAGTCTTAGATATTTTTTAAAAAGTAGTTTCTAATGTTAAAAATTCATTATGTGATAAGCAGAGCACGTTGAGGAGTGGATTAGTGGAAGCAGAAGCCAAAGAAATTTCCCTGAAGTATAAGGTAAAAGGCAAGAAGATGGAAAGCTTGTGAAGATGGTTGAGAGCCAGGGAGGTGAGATTTCCTACATCCAATGTCTAGCTAATAGAAGTTACAGAGGGAAAGAAAAGAGAGTAGAAGGAGGAAATAACAAAGAGAACAGAATAAAATTTCTCAGAGCTGAAGAAAAATATGACTTCAGATTATAAAGTCCTACTGAGTTTAGAGTCAGATGATTTTTAAATATATAATACAGTTTTGTGAACAAAGTTTATGATTTTATTTATAAAATCTAAGACCTCGAATAAAATCAAAACATAAACCCCAAAACTATAATACACTAGACTAACTTTCTGTGCCTTGAGTTAAATTGATCCTAAAAATAAAAAAACCTATTTTTACTGAATTGCAGAATCAAATCTTTGAAATAAATAAACCAGTTTGAATTAGAAATGAGCACATATAATTGAACACTACTTAAGAACATAAACACCAAACTAAACAAACCTAAAAAACAACAGTGAAGGAATCAAGAAGTCATGACACTTAGCATGTACAAGGCCCTGGATTTGATCCCTAGCATTGCAAACAAAACAAAACATTTCATAATGCACAGAAACGTCAGAATAGTGCCTAGGGTTCAATAAATATTAGCTCCAGAATTCTTTTTTACCCTTTCACTGAGATACATTTCATGATACTTAGCTCAAATTTCTATTCCATGTCTGGAAACATCTAGGTGCATCACATCCTCTACAATATTCAAAGACAAAGAAGCAGTAAAGTTAATTCAAAAAGTTCACCATTTGTAATAGAGAGGGGCTGAAGACTAGAGCTCAAACTTTCCCCTTCAGATGAGGTGTTTCTGTAGGCTCCTAACTACTCTCCCATTCTCTAGTTTCACTCTCCTTCAGTTCTTTTTCTGCATAACTGGCAGTCTACTTTCCAAAAAGGAAATCTGATTATGTCACTGTATTTTCAATCATCCAGTGACTCCCCATTGCTTTCAGAATGTAGTTTTAAGTTTTCCAGCACTTAGCATGGTACCTGGCAAATAAGATAAACTCAATAAAGGCTAAATAAGTTGATGAGCGAATGAATGAACAAATTATGGAAACTTAAAGAGGTTGCAATCTTGGAGATCAACCAGAGAAGTAATTCAATCATTTCTGTGGCTTAAATATACATGTTTGTGATTTTTCCTCAGGAGATTGACTTTCCAATTTACGTATGAATGTTATTTAAATGAATTAATTCACATTCCCTGAGCTACAACTGGCAATATTTTTGCCTGAATTTCACCAGCTCCTCAATCACCTCAGCACATCCATACCTAACTTCCTGTCTGTGGGTAAGAAATGGGATCAATTAAGTAGGCCTATGCTCACAGCTACCTATGGGGTAGGGGTTTCCCATCTTCCAAAATCTCATTCATAACAAAGTATAGCCAACACAATGACAGTTCAGATGGCTCTTGCCTCTGCTCCATTCTCTCAGTGCCATCTTCAGACTTCATCCTTGGATAGTGGCCCTTCTCCAATCCCTATGCTCCAATCTGCCCAAATCTTGAGCACACAGGATTAAGAACATAGGAAGGTGGGTCAAAATGCATTATAAGGAGTTGCAACATAAGGAGTTAATGTTCTTTTAACATTAACACTATCTTTTTTATTTTTCCAGTGCTGGGGATCAAATTCAGGCCCTTGAGCATGCTAGGTAAGTGCTCTATCTCTGAGCTATTTCATCAACCCAAACACTCCACAGTG